TCCATTACAATAACAGTACTAATATTGCCCAAATGTTGGTCTATATGACTAGATCAACAGGAAGGAGCTGATCAGGAACTATTGTTAATCAGTAATGAAGTTATTGATGATGTTACCTGCTCTCCAGGTGTGTGATGCGGCGGCTGCGCTGTGGTAGCCAGGAGTCATTGCTAAGCGCCGGCTGTGTGTCGTCTCTGGAGCTCAGGATGGACCAATCAGTGATCATCAAACCAGTTCACTCCTCCCTGCTGGGACAGGACTACTGCTTTGAGGTGACACACACCGCATGCACTCACCGTCACAGGTCATCCTCCGCTGTTTCCATGGTGATGACCTCTGACCCGTCTCTCCTAGGTAACGACATCGACTGGAACAAAGTGTTTCTCCTGTCGGTCGGCAGCAGAGAGAGATAAATGGATGGAGAACCTGAGGAGAGCGGTTCATCCCAACAAAGACAACAGCAGGAGGCTGGAGAACGTTCTGACGGTGTGGGTGATCGAAGCCAAAGACCTGCCCGCCAAGAAAAGGTAGGGGGCGCTACACCTGCTGTACGAGTACAGATAGGGGGTGCTACACCTTACACCCGTACGATGTGTAGTAACAGTAGTATTTGTACTGCAGGTATTTCTGCGAGCTGTGTCTGGACGACAGTCTTTATGCTCGGACGTCGTGTAAACTGAAGACTGACAACATATTTTGGGGCGAGCGTTTCGACTTCAGCAGTCTGCCATCCATCAGCGCCGTCACTCTTCACCTCTACAAAGACACCGACAGGAAGAGGAAGAAAGACAAGAGCAGCTACGTAGGATTGGTCAACATCCCCGTTGCCACAGTGACCGGCAGACAGCTGGTGGAGAAGTGGTATGCAGTGAGCACGCCCAGTACCAGCAGAGGTAGGTAGACTGACGCTAAAAAATATTTAATGCAACGTACAACGAGTCTGTCACACCCAAGAAAAAACACTGAATAAAGCAGTTCCACCCTTAACAATCACTGCTTCTCCCACGCTGTTGGACAGACAAAGGACTCCAAAGGAGGGCCAAAATGCGAGCCCGAAGCTCTGCTAACGTTAAGGCTCAGCCTTGTTTCTCTGATAACTTTAAGATCCAGACGTCCGATGACTAAAATCCTTCATCCGGTTTCAAATCTAGAGTTTAAAAAGCACCAAGATCTAAACAGTGGATGGTAAACAGTCAATGTGTGACAGCTTCTGATTATTAATTGAATCAGCTCCAGCGTTGAGTGAAAAGTAAAACACAAATATCAGTTTTACTTCGTTTCGAGCACTTTACCCTACGCCCTCGTTACAGGCCTTCCTCTGCAAATAGGTGTTTTCTGGTTGTGTTTCAGGAAAGTCGTCTGTGCCGACGGTGCGAATCAAAGCTCGCTATCAGAGCATCGTCATACTGCCGATGGAGCAGTACAAAGAGTTTGCCGAGTACATCAGTTCCAACTACCTGCTGCTGTGTAACACTCTGGAGGCCTCCATCAGCCTGAGAGCTAAAGAGGAGCTGGCTGCTGCTCTCGTCCACATCCTGCACAGCACCGGCAAGGCCAAGGTAACAACCCCCAGCCCACTACACCTGGCACCTACATTAACCCAGTAGCCCAGAACGGACAAGCCAAACACTGGAATTAGAATTTATTCTACACACAATCTGCAACTTCTCCACTAGATGGCACTATATTGTACACACTGGACCTTTAACATATATATATATATATAAATATAAATATATATGACATCTGTATGTTCAAAGGGTTTAGATAACATTTTATTGGACCAAATGAGGACAACTTTTGACCCCTCTCTGCAGGACTTCCTGACGGACCTGATGATGTCGGAGGTGGACCGTTGCCGTGACAACGACCAGCTGATCTTCAGAGAAAACACGCTGGCAACAAAGAGTATAGAGGAATACCTGAAGCTGATTGGACAAAAGTACCTGCAGGACGCCCTCGGTACTACATTGTATCCTGCACAATATACTACACAAAATACTACACAGTATATTACACAATGTACTACACAGTATGTTATAAAACAGCGACAACGTTAAAAACAGCGACAATGTTAAAAAAGCGATAACGTTAAAAACAGCGACAATGTTAAAAACAGCGACAATGCTAAAAACAGCGACAATTGTTAAAAACAGTGACAATGTTAAAAACAGCGACAATGCTAAAAACAGCGACAATTGTTAAAAACAGCAACAATGCTAAAAACAGCGACAATGTTAAAAA